TACAACGGGTGGGCGCAGGCCCCTTGTTTTGAGAATATGTTGTTGCTCTGTCGTTTCATATCCTGTCGTAGAGTTTTGGTCTTTGCTAGTCTATTATCGTAACATTTTTGGCAGGTAGAATACAGAGAGCAGGTAGAATATAGCGAGAGCTATAGAGCGACTTCAATACACCCCTCCCCGATTCAATTCGAGACGCCAAGATTCCATTTGATAGTAATTATCTTGGGTTGAAAAGAGAGCTTCTTTTCAGTGAAGATGAAAACAACTATTGATGACATATTGCGCATCAGTTAACGAGGATTTTAAAATCAAGTAATCATATTCTGACATGTTAAACGACAAAGTTGGGAAATATACAATCAACAATCGCGCTAAATACCGGTAAAGTTTGAATTTCTGTGTAAAAGCAGGAGAAAAGTGGGCAACAGCTGCTCGTGTAAGGATTTTCCCAAGACTTACAATCACGATTTTCATCATAATGAATGTCAGTTTTATCATGGGTGTAGGTCCATGGGTCGAGGGGTATGTATTCCTCACATCTTTTTGACCGTGTGGAAGTGCCACTTGAATATCAATTTTCAGAGGTGAGAAACATGAATTTGGGGCTTATTTTTCAATCTTCCAACAGCCTGTCTGTGATATACAACCCACAAAGGAGAATGACACTAAATTCACTTGTAGGGGAAGGGGGTAGAAGACAGCAGTACGGGCACATCGCAACACTGGGTGTGCCCGTGTATTGGTTTGATGTACAGTACGTGTATATTGGTAGGGGTATTATTGAAGTACGTGTGTATTGTAATTAAAGGATGGAAAAACGTGAGCGGGCGGGAGGGGATTTTCATGGGAGACACAACGCGCAGTACGGCGAACTATATTGGCGAGTAGGGGGAAAGCGTTAGCATAGCACACTGTCTGGCGGGCAGAGTTACCGAGTGCGTGCGGGCACTCTTAATAAAGTTCATTTACACTGACAGGTTAATTTCATATCTTTTAATGACAATGTTCAATATATCGACTGCTGTTGATAGCTGTAATTCAGTTGTAGTATTACCCATGGGCGTCGCCAAGATGTTTTCTGGGGGAAACCACTTTTTCCAGGGGAGGACTTTGGGGGGGGGACACTTATTAGCTATACTTAATTTAAAACCATTAGACCGTAACAGTGGACATGGGTCAATTGTAATTCTTTTTTGGTAAAATGGGGATTTTTGTCCCATTTCACCTCTTTCTTCTTTTCTTTCGCTTCCCGACACCCTCCCTTTAATTTTCGATTTTTAAGGGGAGGGGGGCGGAGAGGGTAGCCCCCAGCTCCCATTGCCACACTCATGGTGTTACCTTCATTAAAGCATGAGCGAATGGTGCTCAGGGTGAAAAGAGTATTTTACGCAGTCTTTCAGGAATAAGGGCAGCCGCTCCGTCAAATATTATTCTTAATTGAACCCCTGTTCAGAGCCAAACGTCCCTGAGCATTATTGAAAATGTGTCATCGAAAAAAGTACAATTATGGTTGAACACAATAACGGGGAAACGTTGTAGTTCCCAACTTCTGTGATCTCAAAAGGGCTAAAGAGTTTTACTGAGTAAAGAAAGACCAGTCCGTACTCCATGAATGCGAAAGAGTTGCGAAATTTGATTGACGTTATGAATCATTTCGCGGCGCAATCCGCTCCGGTTGGAATGAATTCGACTTTTGCAAGGAAACTGTGAGACAGAAATCGATTGCACTTTTGTGATCCCTGTTTCGGATACCTCTGTCGCTCCAGGATGCCTGATTAACGCCTGGTTATTCATTATGAGTAATAACTTTTTTAGTCGGGAGGTTTGTGAGCCGAAAGACTGAAATTTACACATTTATAAGTAGGTGCCGATATCGGGAAAGTGGGTATACGTTCCTGCCAGTAGCCAAGATTTGGTGCCAGGTGGCGACAAGTCAATAAATAGGCCCAAAGTAGCCTGTTAACATGTCCATCAAATTATGACTTTGTGTGCCTTTGTTTTTCCGCTATTGGGGGTTTACAGTGGCCCGTAACTCAACAGCTTATAATGCGTAAAGGCGACGAGACCTATGGACACTGCAGAAGCTCTGGTGTTAAATTTAACACGGTAACCCCAGGTTTTGCAGTGTACCAGCTTGTGATTTTTACAATTCGATCAAACTAGACCCGAAGTTGCTCTAGTTTGAAGTGGAATGAAGGTGTCATTTCCAAGGACTGCTTTCATTGGAAAATGATTTCCTTACGAAGTCAGCCGATTTTCTCCAAAACACATACTTAAAAATTCTTATTGAGATAAGCTTTTAATTTAAAATCCTAATGTGCCTATGACCTGAGACAGTTGTAATTTTCCCTTGTGTAGTCTCTGAAGTTAGCATATGATATAGGATTCATCATTACTATCGTCGGTAGTAGTTATTAGTCTTGGCTTCAAGACGTTATTGTGGGCGTTCGCGACCTCCTGTGGCAAGAAGGCGCTGTTTCGACGTACCGCTGTGACTGTCATGCCCTCAGACATGAAACGCATTTATCTAGAGACCGACAACAGCGGGCGCAAGACCGTAATTGCAGGAAATGCGCCATTTTCAAATATGATGGGAAACCGCCACCTCGTCCGAATTGGCGCACAGCTCAATACCACGGAAACAAAGCTGAAGCCAGCCGTAGCAAACGTGTCCGTAAACATACAACAGTCTACGCTCCGTTGCACGTCTTCTGAAGAGGTGCATTTTATATTTTTCCCTCTTATATTGTCGTTATTTCAGACCAAGCTGTAAAAGATAGTGAAATTATACTAAAATCCAACTATCTCGGCTCATTAATGACAAGAGATTTGATACAACTTCGCCAGGGCGTTTGCAACAGCACCGAGAACTGTTCCCAAAACGTTTGACAAACAAGCAAATAACCTCTTGGCTATTGAAAGTAAAGATAGTTCATCATTCCAATAACTTCAAAAAGGAAAAAATACATAATTCTGTTGGGTACCTTTAATGTTTATAAAAGTTTTGCCAAGCGGTGCTCGTCTCAAGTGAATATGATGAGACACAGACATGTACAAAAGTCCGTTAGTGCCCACATTTTTAATTTGTTTATTTATTTTTTTTTGGTTAAGTTTTTCTGCATTTTTAAATTTCTTTTTATTTTATTCTAATTTTAGTTTTTCAACTTCATTTCCCCCACGGAAGTCCGTTAGTGCCAATTTGAAGTATACAAATGTATGTATATCTTTTTTATTGCGAAATAACGCAATTTCTTTGCAAAATAATGCAATAGTTCTACGGACATTTGGAGCACGTTACTCCAGTTAACAAAAGTAGGATGCGTGCGCATTAAACCCAGATGCAGGAGTATAGCCCCCCCCCCCACGTTAGCGAGAGTATACTCTCGCTTACCAGCGGGTCGCACTCCAGCCGGTCAAACGCACCTTTGAGTGAGCAGTGCAGGTGATTTCACATTACACAGTAATCGAAGAAAGCTCAGCATGACATTACGCAAACCCGTAAGCTCTACTTCTCTCTTAGTCTGAATAATGATCACATACTGTGGTTTTGGGTAGTAAATCATGCGGGTATGATCGTCAGTTTTAAGGACCCTAGTTGGCACTAGCGGGCTTTCGTAGACATGTGAATTTTGTAAAAAAAAAGTACACCAAGCAATGATATTATCAGAACGTGCAGGAAGTACATTGCATGGTATCACCCATAGCCTGCATCATGCATAGTCCTACTGTCTACGACTTTGGACACGTTAATATTCACATTCCGCTTATAGCATATCAAGCAAGGGAGGGGCAGGTAAGTTACCCACCTTGGCAACATGTGGGTGTAACTCAACGTGGAATCTACAACTCTATAAGCATCCTTCATCAACGCAAAAAATAGTGTCCAGTTGTTTTGGTTGTATGTGGTTCCGACTTTTTGACAAATAGACAAATCCGTTAAAAACCGACATTTTAGAGGGGCCGGCACATTGCCTTATATGCCAAAAAAACTATAAAAGACCGCTTCAGAAGATTCAAAATTAATTATTTAACGAGTATTTATTCTAGCAACGTATTCTACAGAGAAATACGACTGTGATCATTTATAAAAGTTGAAAAATATTTTACAGATCAACTGTGATGCTGCACAAATATACCGTGCTATAAAGATTTCTCAACGTTTATTAGGCTACTAGAGTGATCTTTATCTTCGAGAATTCATAACCACAAAATGATAGTATGCAGATGACATCAGACCATTTCATTAATAAAAATCACAATTATGCACGTATGCGCACAAATGGCCTTGGCGGCAAGAAGTGTGAGCGGGCCATTGAAAAATGTACAAAGGGGTGACTTTATAATCATTTTCTGTCAGGTTTTCTTGCATTGTTCATTTTTTTCCTCAGAGAATCCCATTAAATCGTTTTCGTTATTAGTTTCTAATCCAAGCAGGATTTTTAGTGCTCTGTAAAAAGACTTTATAAATCTGACTTTTCCTGTAAGCACGAGATCGCCGTTTCTTAGTACGGCCCCCCTTCCACCATAAGTAGTATAAACTACATCGTTAGTATTCTTCCAGCCAAACTGTTCATTTTAATTGTAAACACGTGCTGATGTTCAATGAACATGAACTGTAAGTACATGGCTTACCATTGAACTTGGTTATAGCTTGGAGTAATATCGAAAGAAATGGTATCCAGTTGTTACGGCTGTTTCAACCAATTCCGTCTTTCTGAGGCGTTTCAGGTCATATTCTTTGTAACAAGGTTTACAGGCAAACATTTCTGAGTGAGTGAAGCTGGCAAATAAGTGGTGTTTGAAAAGACAAAGCCTCTGTGTACATAAGATTGGGGTGGATGGTAGGCCTACCTAGAAGGATTGAGTACCTTTATTATTATTATAAAACACCACGAAAGGAGACAGGCTTAGATACAGCAATCTCGTGCGCACGGGAAAAAACACGATTGTAAAGTCTTTCTACAGAGCACTAAAAATCTCACTGTAGTAGAAACTACATGTAATAAAAAAAACGATTTAATAGGATTTTCTGAAGAAAAAAACTGCACAAAGCCAGAAAACCTGAGAGAAAATGGTCATTAAAGTCACAACTCTGTACCTTTTTCAATAGCTGACATTTCTTGCAACCAAGGCCATTTGTGCGCACGCGTGCATAATTGTGAATTTATTAGTGAAAAGGTCAATTTTCACCATCAGTGACAAAGACAGGCCTCACATCAAGCAGTAATTATTGTATTAGATGCACACTGCAAGTGTACATATTATTTTTCGCTGTGGTTTTGGCTTCGTCACCCCCGGTTAAAAAACTAAGAAACCACTTTCTTTAGGAAAACATCTTTGAAATCATTGCACCTCACATCAGTGTAGGCTGTGCAATAAAACACTCAGGAAGGCTATGCGAAAAAACATAATCAATTAAAATTAAAGGTATTTTTGAAAGCGGTCTGAACAGATGAAAATGGTAAACAATGTTTCTTTTTAATACTCTAAATATTCCCCAACACTTGTTCTAATAATTGTTTTCAGGACAAAAGAAAAGGCAGTAATTAAATCTGGGTTCTTTACTTAAGTTAATTTTTGTACTCAACAGTTTATAAAGATGCTAACAACTGCATTCCATGCCAAACTCTTTAAAATTATTGTAATTTTTTATCAGTCGACTAAAAGCAACATTGTTGTTGCGGCTACAGTAAAGCCTTTAATTCTTAGCACTCCAATGATTCACCTTTGTTGCTAAAAACGAGCAGAATGACAAGGGTCACTATGATGACAAAGCCTCCAAAACATATTCGGCGTATCTGTCACAAACACAAGCATAATTATTATGGCATCCATTAGCCTGTTAGAAGTATGGCGGACACAATAGGAGGGCGCTATTTGAAGTGGTACATTTGGAGCAAACACAAAGGATTTCACCCGCAGACATATAAACGCATGTCTGTGATTTTACCCAAACCAAATAGCGCCCTCCCATTGTTTCCGCTATACCTCTAAAAGGCTAATGCTGTGGGCGGCCTTCGGGGGGGGGGGGCAGTCCACTAATTCAAGCAATAATCTCCGCCAGGCTCATTAGCATTAAAAGTGTCACTACAGTATCTTTCGAAAAAGGGGATTGTTTGGTCCCCAATATGGTGAATTTATGTAAATCCTTGCCTGGATCAAGTCCCTAGTTCTTTGGGCTTCCATCTGAGGGCAGATGGGATTTAAAAAAATGCGGTTGAAAAATGGTCCCAAAGGCCCGGAAAGTAGAGGCATACCATATGAGAAATGGCTGCGTGTTGACTTCAGAACTTCGACTTTTTTTGGGGGGGGTTGGTTTTGTTTTGGGTGAATAATTAAAGATGTAACTGGTTAACCCCCCAAAATTGAAAAGAAATTGAAAGATTAATGACCAAATAATAATTACATTTTTTGGAGACACCCCAGGGATGTTGGCTTGCACATTATTGAGCTCTGAACAATGGTGATTTTCCATTGTTTTCAATGAGGCCTGAATGAGTGGACGGTACCCTTCGTAGCACCTCTTTTTTCGCACAGGCTATAGCGCCCCAAGCTCTTCGTTAACAACCCATTTTTCCCGTCAGCTCCATAAAACAATATGGCACATGTATGTTAAATACAGCTGCAAAAACCTTTTTTTTGTTTTTGAGCAAGACTGTTGCCCTAAAAGTATATACATACATATACGTGTCTCAATAAAAATTTACTGTAATTTTGCAAACGTCGAAATAATTTTCAGCTCACTTTTATAAAATGCCCTAACTAAACACAGAGAACCCGTGAGTACTTAAGGCAATTCTGTGATCCCAAAATTGGGAATCTTTGAACAGTATAAATCAATGCACTCGATAGTTGGGTTTGTGTCTTGTTTTCATGAATGAATCATTAATATACAGTGCTACCTCATCTGCAACACACACAACTCTAAAAAACAAACAACCCGACACCCCAAAAAACAAGCAAACAAACAAACAAACAGATCCCCCAAATGAATAAAGAGACTCCAACAAACGTGTTCCCTTTTCTACCTTTTACAAGCAATATCGTTTACCTCTAAATTTTAGAAGCAAAGAGCTGGATGAGTCAATTTGAACAACATGAAAATTAAACTAGTTTAATTGAAGTATTTGAAAATGTGAATCAACAATGAGAAAAATCGGCTTTCTTAGTTTTACACTTCCAATATTTGGATTCGACAATACTCGTCTTGAACATAATTTATCCCGAATTCATTGCTTCCAAGAAAATGTACCCCGGGATATGGCGTGCAAAGTTAACATTTAATCTGCGTATACAGATATCTCTATTTTTAGTGTATCTCTAATTATTCCTTACAGAAATATCTGTATTTTTACGTCCTGTTTTTAATACAGATATCTCTATTAAATTTCCGGTCCCGCTCTCTGGGTCAACGGAGAGGTCGTTGTAACTTAACGTACAAAGTTTCACTGAGCCAGAGGGTTATTGTTTCCAAATGTAAACAACCACGGGAGTACAAGTACGGAGACACGGATTCAAACCTCTCAAGGTAATATATTTTTTAAACACAAAACGTCGACCTATACAACAAAAAACAAAACAAACAAAACAAAACAAAACAAAAAACAACCAAATCTAGGCAATGTTCTGGCTGTGTTAGTACAAAAGTTTAGTGTAAGTGCGTACTGGGAAATAAAATGTACCGACTGTTCTCAATTTTTGCAAGAAAATTCCTTCTTGTTAAAATCACTGAAGCGATTCCACCTCTTCTTCTGGTCTTGAACATCAGTGTGTCTGTGGCATTAAAGTTTAGCAAAGATACATCACCACAACCAAAACCGAACCACAAAAATGCATACTACAAATGAGAAATATAAACACCAGAATAGCCCAATTTATACACGAATCGTCATCGTTTCCTCGAAGGGGAGATTTCTGTCAAAAATCATCGTTGTTGGAATTTTTAGATACTGGCAACGCGATAAATGGTGACGTCGTTTTTACTAAATCTTTGAAATCTGTTAAATCACGATCATCAGTATCTGACAAAAATCATAAAAGCCGCAGCCGTGGTCTTCATCGGCGAAGGGTCGACTTTTGCAGTTAATCTCTTATTGATCAGTTAGAAAAAGTGGTTTAACAACACGTCTCTGTAAATTTTAGTTTTACCTTGCAGAGTGAATTCATATCCCAGAGAAATCCTTGACAAAATAAACTTGGTGTTACAAGCAGAGCTATCGTTACGGATGACTTACGACGTCATACCACCACTACACAAATTAGTAGTGAATTAATCCCAAGACGGCCACAACAGACAACAGAACTCCCCACAGACACCCTGAGGGAGCCATCCCTGCGGTGTTCTTGTGCTTGTTGCACAGGTTCTTCTCGCAGCACTGAGTGCAGGTCTCTGCATCCTGCATGGACTGACACAAAACAGCACCCTCGGATTCCTTGTGCTCCTTCTTACAGCTATCTGGGCTGCAGCCCCTTGTCAGGTTCACAAATGTCTTAGCATTGTTATGCCGGGTAGTCTGAAAAGCGAAGATAAACTTATCAACAAAGTCACAGTGGACTCATTGCTGGAAGATTTTTATATTAATATGAAATGTTTCTTAAATGAAAAGGCAAATCCACGTGCGTCACACAAACAATGGCAGTTGTTTCACTGCACGCTCAGATATGAATATCATTTTTCTTGTCCACCCACGCCCTCTACAGTTCGAGCGATCAAAAGATCCGTGGGGTCACAGATATAACTTGGGATTCCCAATGACTGATCACTGTTTTGAATACACATGCAACATCGTGTCACCATCGCGGGTGGCGCGGATGGCTTGTACATATAAAGCACTCGCTTCTCAGCATTGTGACACAGGGTCTATCATTGTGAAGCGAATTGTTCGTTGGATCTGTCCTGTGCAACCAGGGTTTTGTCCAGGTTTAACGGCTTTCTCTCTCTGCAGAAAAATTTACACTTTGGATTTATTGTTGGTTAAAATGAGAGTCGTTAGGCAGCTGCTTGTGGCGCCTTTACATGTCTCGACTACATGGTAGCTGCGTTTCTGCTTCACGGCTGCAAGTAACAATTTCTCCCTTGTCTTCCTCCTCAGCAAAAACTTTTTTTTAAGATCAAACAAGTATAGTGAGCGGAGCATAATAACATTTCTCACAAAGTAACACTGTTTATAAATGATATATAGCAGAGGCGTTTTCAAATTATGTGAAAAGTTTTCACATTTTCTTCAAATTTTTTCAATATTTTTGTTCAATTTCAAAACTTAGTTGTAAACTCTTATCCTATAGTTGGCAAAATTTTGTCGCTGATAGACTGGATAAAAAAATAACAAAATCTGCAGAAATCAAAAATCCAACAAGGCGGTAATTTCCGTTGCTAATGATACATGATTATGTACACCGGCATGCATTCTTACCCAGCAAAACTCTCCAGCTGCGCACACCGCGCTTCGCCGGCCTTCTCCCTGTTCTCCGAAGCAAGGGTCAGACATGTTGGTGGTAGTGCAAGTGTAACAACTGATGCCAGGCTGCAGGGGTGGGGAGAGACACCGAACGGCCGTGAGCAAGGGGTGGGATGGACACTACAGGAACACTTTACAGCGATACCGCCATATGGATTCTGCAGAGGGCGCTGTTTGGCTAGAAAGCCAGTATACAAAGTTGCGACATGAGGTCGTGCAGGAAGCGGCGTACGATGCCATTTTGTTTCCAAAACGGTTGGTTCTCGTGTGCGGCTTTGCACTGATACATGGGAAAAGGCTGCAAGTAACAGTATGGCCTTCTGATTGACATGAAAAATACCTCCCAAACGTGGACAAATGATAGTTTAGAAGTATTACAAATGACTCTTGTCGCAACTCTTTTTATATTAGCTGCATGGGGGAACACGAGTTGGCGTATCTTTACACAAGGAACGGCGTCTTTTTCGTTTGGAAATAACGCTTGAGCACACACGTTCATTCGTATTTTTAGTGAAGGATACTGTTGTTCTGGTAAGCCACGCGACAGTTTACTACGCATGCATGTTTGACCGGTTCAAGGACCCTGTTGATCCTGCCAGCACCTGGTCACAGCAGAAACACTGACTGACGGGTGATGGCGAATTGATAAGTTTGAATTCGGCTCTCGATCAAGCATATTGAACTTGCGCAGTGGTTCTGCTGTGATAGAACTTACGGTATCGGTGCTTCCAGTATTCGGAGACTGTGAGCTTGTGCCCCCCTCGCCTACATCAGTCCCTTGCGTTTCAGGCTGCATACTAGTTTGAGTTTGGTGGTCCGTCTCAGGGCCTGGTCCAATTTAATGAAACAGCAACGCTAGCTGTTTATATAGGTTGGCAAATATCAGAAAACATAATTTCACAGGAGGGATCTGATCCCGGCCCTATCATAGCTGATGAGGGTTACACTTGTTTTGGACTTTCAAGTACTGGCGGCAACTTGTGCAACGTTGATCCTTAACCTTACAACGGGGGAACTGATTTTGCAACGATGTGTTGTTAAGGTGAGCATATTGCATTCTGGTAAACATTGTCTCACCGCTTGTCGGCAGTGTGCCGGATGCCTGTGAGCCGGTTGACGCCTCGCTACTGCCTGGCGTGGTGGACACCACGCCACCAGTCGGAAGAGTGTTAGGTCCAGTAGATGCTAAATAAATTAACGGCCAAATCGATTTAATGTAAAAATACCCTTGTCTCCTTGCTACCTGAAAGGTAGAGTGTCCTTTTATTTAAATTTAAATTGCAGAGACACGGTTACCATTACGGAAAGCTGAAATAATCACAAGTAAGCCAAATGAAACAGTTCTTTTTTCCCTTTTATTTTTGGGTAATAATAAAAGCCGGGCACCCATGCAAGTATTTATACGAAAACAAACGAGACAACTACCTTTGCCAATTTGGGATTTCAAGGTCATTGTGAGGTCAAGAGTGATTTCAAGTTCGTTTTGAAGGTCAAATTTCAAGATCTCATCGCTCATCGAGATATTCAACAGGCAGGGTAGTTACAACACGATTTCGCTCTCAATACGGGCAATTCACAATAGTGCGCCTCCAAGAGTTTGCAACGCGTTTTCCAATCAGGTTCAGCGAAATTTGTCGACCCAATGCACGTTCAAAAAGGTCGACAGATTTCGCGCGTTGTAACTGGCTATCACGTTACAAACTCTTGGAGGCGCACTATTGTGAATCACCCGTATTGTGATGCATTTTCCAGAAACGGGAGGTATTTAAATCCATCCATAATCTACACATCTGCAAAGTTTCATTCCATGGACAAATTTGAGTGCAAAACATAATTGCTTTGGACGCCAATGTTTGCGAACCATCCCTTTTCTTATCCTTTATCGTTAGACAGTTTGACTCGTGAGCCTGTGACGTGGGTGGTGTTTAGACGATGATAAAGGTATCCAGCGGTTTTAAACACAGTCTTTCCCAGTTTAATTTGAAATTTGGCCTCCTATTTTATATATAGACTCTAACGACGATCGTCAAATAAAAAGTCCTTGATCGCATTAACCTCGTCCCCATGGTGTCGAGCAGTGCGTTCAACAGCTACCCACTCAGTTATTAGGCTACCATCCTTTGCATATTCAAATATGTGGGGGTACGGCTGGACCCATGTGTAAACCTTGTCCCGTCCTGTTCAGAAATTGCGGAAAAGCCAAAAAAACTTTACTAATAGAATGGCTTTAATTCCGCGGATAAGCCAATAATTTCCGAAACAAGACATGCGTCGAATTTTCAGTCCAAGAAGTTTTGAGTTTTCCTGGTTAGGGGTAATTATTGTACCACTTCAGAGAAAATTCTATCAATCAAACTAATTACTCACCTCCCCCAGCAACTGTGGAAGTCTCAGCTGACGGAATGGCAGTTGAAGCGGTATTTCTGTCAGGCATTCCCGTTGTAGGGGCTATAAAGAAATGAAAAGGATGAATAAGAACACATAAGGCCATTCACACACCAAGCAGGTCATAACACGGTTGATTCTCCAAGAGTTTGCTTTATATTAAAGCCAACAGAGTGTCGGAGTAATTGCAGAATACCCCGCCACGCGAAAACACCCCCTAAAAATCCATGGCTACGTAGTCAAGTGGAGGTTTTTCGGCTTCGGGTTATCCATGCTGCGTCAAGGTACGCGTTGTGTACAGCATAGAGGGATTTCATATTAGCGCAGTCGACGTCTGCGCATATCAGCATCGAAAGCGAGGCTCTTTGTGTTGAATTTCCTCGTGCGCGCCCGCAGAGTCGACACAGTATATGCAGTATCTGGTTCGTAAGTGTGATGCCACTTCAGTTTAAACCACGCCCACTGCACATGCAGATACACAACCATCGCAGGTACGTTAGTTCACGGTAAATTACCGTTATTTTTTGTTTGATTTGACGTGTGGAGTCATCCTGAAAGACTCTTCCACAAAAATTTGCAGCCTGAAAAGTCTGAATTTAACATAATTTATGTATTTTGTGTCTTGACTCCTTATTTTCAATCGTCTGATCGTATTTAGATTTCAAGCTGACACATACAGCCTGTTTTCAAACGCGGAAGTGCGCAGATCGACGCTAAAAGCGTCGTATTGGGATCCCTCTATTGAAGTCATTCTTGAGAACGAAGCACTGCAACGCAAAGTGAATGGGGATGGCGGAAGAATTTTCCCAAATCCAATGTGGGTCCCTAGGAGCGGCCACGCGGATACGAAGTGGGCCTTGCGTCCTACAACGCAAAGTGAATGGGGATGGCGGAAGAATTTTCCCAAGTCCAATGTGGTTCCCAGGGAGCGGCTACGCGGATACGGGGCCGGGGATACGAAGTGGGGCCTGGGCCTTGTGGATGGAAGCGTGACTCCGTATCCGCGTATCCATGGCTAAGAGGTGGGCAAGGTGAGTGGCAGGATATTCTGCAATTGTGCCAGAGTGTCTCATAGCAGGTTAGCACGGCTGGTTCTCCAACGGTTCCCCTTAATAATATCGATCAGGGTCAGCAGCAGGTTAGCCCGGCCGGTCGTTCAACAGTCTGATCGTCGCCCAACGCCCGAACGGGGTGCTTGAAAGGGCTGATGGCTTTGCACTTTGATTGGCTACTTCGTGCACGACCTCCCATTGCGAGGTTATCATTTCTTGTTTGTGAAGCCTTATTTAAGTGTTTGGTTAGCCAATGGCAAAGCTTTGGCACAAACGAAAGTGTCGGTTTATATGATTAAAAACACGGCCTTGGTGCATGATAACTAAGTATCACTGATCACGTGTCTTTGGGCGATATATTTCACATCATTGGTTATCTTGATCAGTCAGAATTTTTTCAGCAATGAGGAAGAAAAAGAAAAAAATATCGAATTGATAACAGCCACGTGGAGCGAGCTCCCGCGCCGGGCAGAAATCTACCAACAATGCTCTGAACACCATTAGCTGTAACCCTGTGTGACGTATTTCCTTCACTAAAATCTGTGCAAGGCCATCAGCCCTTCCCAGCGCCATAAAATAGCGACGAGCGAACTCC